ATGTTTGTTTTATTAGTTCATTGTTCTTCAGGCATTTTTAAAAATAAAAACCAAATTAACACTTTAGTAAAAAATTTTGAGGACCCCCAAGATATCTCTCACGGACCCCTGGGGGTCAGGGACCCCAGTTTGAGAACGTCTGCTCTAGAAGATGCTTTTTTCAATAGACTCTAGAAAATATTTAATTAGGCCCACATTTTCGAGTGTTTAGATATGACTTAATTTGTAACAAACACAGTGTGATAACTTGTCAAACCAATTGCACTTTAACATTTTTAATCATTTATTTACTTTCTCTTTCTTTTTTCTTTTCTTCTTCTTGTCAATATGGACCAGGTTTCTGTGTGTTTAATAAAGTTTGAATTGAATTGAACATGATTTATATAGCCTATATAAAAATTTAAAGTTTACTTAGTGAATGTGTGCAACACGTATGCGGAACTTACATTTACACATCCCCTTGACCATGGCATCCACAGTTCAGTGCTGCACGTGCTGCTTGAGTAAGGTCCTCACTTGCTGTGGAGSCCCTTATAAGCCACTCACACTCGTACCTAATTGGTTTCAGATGGGACTTAAWATGGCCAACCCTCCGTGGACACGCACAGTCAAGAGTGGGTAGGGTGAGGGAGTAGACACTGATTAGGAAAGGCCTTTCTTCAGTGAGTGACTCTCTCACTAAGTCACTCACTAACTCACTTCATAAACCCCTCACTAACTCATTCTTTAACTCACAGTAAATCCTTCACTAACTCCCTCACTAATTCACTTAGTAAATCCTTCATTAACTCCCTCACTAATTCACTTAGTAAATCCTTCATTAACTCCCTCACTAATTCACTTAGTAAATCCCTCACTAACTTACTCCCTAACTCACTTAGTAATTCACTCACTAAATCACTTAGTAAATCCCTCACTAACTTACTCCCTAACTCACTTAGTAATTCACTCACTAAATCACTTAGTAAAATCACTCACTAACTTACTCGCTAACTCACTTAGTAATTCACTCACTAAATCACTCAGTAACCCACTCATTAACTAACTCACTCATTAACTCACTTAGAAAATCCTTCATTAAATCACTCACTAACTCACTTAATAAATTATTCACTAACTTACTCTCTAACTCACTTAGTAAATTCCTCACTAACTTACTCTCTAACTCAGTAAATCCCTCTCTAACCCACTTAGTAAATCCCTCACTAACACTCTAACTGACTTCATAAACCCCTCACTAACTCACTCTAACTCACTTAGTAAATCCTTCATTTACTCCCTTACTAACTCACTTAGTAAATCTCTCACTTACTCTCTAACTCACTTAGTAAATCCCTCACTTATTCACTCACTAACTCACTTAACTCCCTCACTAACTCACTTAAATCCCTCAGTAAATCCCTCACTAACTCACTCACTAACTCCCTCACTAACTCACTTAGTAAGTCCCTCACTAACTCACTTAGTAAATCCCTCACTAGTAAATACATCACTGAATCCCTCACTAACTAACTACTAACTCACTCGCTCACTAACTCACTCACTCACTAACTCACTCAGTAACAGAAACAGTAATGATACAAATAACTTTTGCTTGTAGTACATTTTACAAGTGTGGTTCTATATGGCCCAAAAATCTCAATAAATAAAACAAACAAGTACTGTCTGACTCCTTCAAAGCTTTAGATAAAGAGGGAGATATRAGACTCTAGAATTTAGTGCAGTAATCAAAAGAATGCCTGTAGTTCAGTTCTTCAWTAATATTTGTAATGCTGTCATGATTTCCTTCAATACAAGGCATTTAAAGTTTGTAAAGTTCCTGCTGTTAGCATCTCACAAATATTCAACAGCTGCAGAGCCTGCATGTGTTTCCACCAACATATATGAGTCTCTTTGATGGTTTTACTTAAGTTAAGTACACATTATTTTCAAACTGTTGTTGAAATTTGCTTGGCGATTTCAGGGAATGGTGATGGTCAGCCCTAAGATGAACCCAACGATCTGCTGTCAGTTTGAAGCTGCCATCGTTCTGCTCTTTCATGCTAAGACTTTCAGACGGGGGTCACAGGTCACCGTACACGTTGGTAACGTCAGGCAGACGGCAACGGTGGAGTGCCTTCATGGAAAGGTCGGTGTGTTAATCAGGTTTCTGTTTGATCTTGGRTTTAATCAGAGCGTAACGTAAACCCTGCCGCTTTCAGGACGAGCTGCGAACAGGTGAGAGGGCCGTCGTTCGCTTCCGCTTCATCAAACACACTGAGTACCTGCGAATGGGAGCGAAGCTGCTCTTCAGAGAGGGTGTCACCAAGGGCATTGGTCATGTGACACGCTTACTGCCCCCTTCTCAGAACCACGACCAGAACCAGAACCATGACCAGAACCTGCAGGATTATTAGACACTGCATCACCAACAGAGAGCTCATCAAAAAACTTGGCCAAGTTGGAGGTCATCCAGACATTGTCCTGCTTCATATCAGCGTAATAATCTGGCCGTCGTGGGTCCACGTTTATCTCCTTGTTCTTGTCTGCAGTGCCCATCTTCCTCAGCAGGCGGTCCTGTCTTGACTTCAAGTTGGAGGACCTCAGTGGATTTAATCTGATGTTGTACCACTGACTGATACATGAGGGAGAAGACTGCTGGATTATTTTTCCAGGGATTTGAAGAATGACTTTAAAGCATCACAACACTCACTCATTTTTTGAGGTGATAGAACTGGTTGTTTAATTCAGTTCAGTGATACAGTGTCAGTTCACAGCAGACTCAGGCTTCTGTACAAAAAATAAGTCCAAATCCTAAATTGAACTCTTAGATTCAAATCCAAATAAAATCTGTTCTTAATATAATACAGTACATTGGTTTCCAGCACATTATAAAACACTAATTAGTAAAATTTATTTATTTAATAAAGTCAGCAGAATGCAACGTTTCTTCTACATATTTCCTATCCTGAGCAGCACATTGGTGACAGTGGACAGGAAACAACCCTGTGAATAACCAGGCTCAGAATGGCCAGCCATCTGCCTGAATTTGAGAAGACAGGAAGAAGACTGAGATCATCACAGAAAGATTGGTCCAGGTCTAGTTTCTATAGAAGGGAAACAGGTTAATGACAGCATTAACTGTATGGAGAACATTAACATGGAGAGCAGGGCAAGTAAAGACATCAACAGAGAGAGGACATGTGGACAGTTTGTCCTCCAGCAGTCTGAGCCTATAGCAGCAGAACTAAGAGAAAGTTCAGGAAGCACAAACCAACCCCAACTGTAGGATTTATGAAAAAGTCTTCAGTCTTTAAAGTAGACAGAGTGTCAGCCTCACACAGAAACTGGAAGCTGGTTCCATGAGAGAGGAGCCCAGGATTGGGTTCTGCATCTCTAATGATAGATTTTAGCCACTTATCCTGTTACAATCTGTACCGGTGCTGGTTCTAAATAACACTTAGCCTGGTGGGAGGCAAGTAAGGCTTGGTGGTCCGGTCCAGGGAGAAACCCTGGGAGCTTGATAACTGAAAGTTCTGCCTCCCATTCTACTGTCAGAAACTCTAGAAACCAGAAGTAAACCTGCCCTCTGAGAGCGAAGTGCTCTGTTAGGAAAGTATGGAACAATAAGATGCTTCATAAAAAAGCCTGGTTGTTGCTGTAGAGATTGACTTTTCAGAAAATGTAAGAAAACAAACTGTTGTAACAGATGAAGTTCTGTTTAATCACTTGTTAAAACAAAAAAATCTTCATCTAATGAAATGGCAGCAACTGGATGCATGTAGGATCCTGGATGTGGTGATCTGATTGGTTGTTGGTGACAGTCAGGCTGGCCTGAGTATTTCAGAAACTGCTGATCCACTGGGACCAGCAGGGTGTTTAGGGTTCACAAAGACTCCTCAGACCTGGCAGTAACCGTGTTTCCATCAAGGCTTTTTGATGCGCATTTAGAAGTATCGCATTAAATATGCAAAAAAATGTCGGATGGAAACAGCAAAATTCGAAAAAAAAAATCCTCAATTCGCTAAAAATTTTTACGCTCGCTTGAGGTGGTTTTTGGATGATTCGCAAAGTAGTTAATGCGCAAAACGGGAGATGGAAACACGTTTGCGAWTAAATTCTGACGTAGCGCATATTTACTTCACGTGACGTTCAGCTGTTTCCACTTTCCTGCCTCGTCCCGGATGTTAGCCCTGCGTAGTTGCACGTGCCTTTCTGCTGCGTAGTTTAACATTGCGTTTATTTCCCTACGTTTCCTGGCAGCGTTAAACATAGCCTGTACTAGCTGAATAGATAGAATAATTACAACTTGCCCAATAGCAAGGCATTCACGAAAAAATCGCCCCATTGTCCCAAGATGATTAGCCTCTGCTAGTTAGCAGTTTCACTTCCTGTTTACTACCGCAGAGCTTGTTGCCAACGTCTGACATAATCACGCGTTGTGTAGCCTCGTCTGATGTAATCACGCGTTGTGTAGCCTCGTCTGATGTAATCACGCGTTGCGTAGCCTCGTCTGACATAATCACGCATTGCGTAGCCTCGTCTGACGTAATCACATATTGCGTAGCCTCGTCTGACGTAATCACGCGTTGCGTAGCCTCGTCTGACATAATCACGCATTGCGTAGCCTCGTCTGACGTAATCACACATTGCGTAGCCTCGTCTGATGTAATCATGCGTTGTGTAGCCTCATCTGACATAATCACGCGTTGCGTAGCCTCGTCAGACGTAATCACGCGTTGCGTAGCCTCGTCTGATGTAATCACTCATTGCGTAGCCTCGTCTGACATAATCACGCATTGCGTAGCCTCGTCTGACGTAATCACACATTGCGTAGCCTCGTCTGATGTAATCATGCGTTGTGTAGCCTCA